GGTATGTCATCAGTATACACGTATAACTAGGACTCAGTTCTCTAAAGCAGCAACTTCACTGAATGTCATCACATTGGAAAGAGGTTGACCAACATACAGTGTCTCACAAGGATGTCTCAGTGTTTCAGACAAAGTGATGTATAAACCTAGAGGAAAAAAAATCCCAAAATTCTGATCTGGATAAAGACAAGTGTTTCCAATGCCACAAATATAATTAATTGGAGCGTTAGCCTTCAAGCTGGGTTTTCGGCACAAACTTATAATTCCAGCTACACGAGAGACTGAGGTATACAGATCAGAAGCTCAGGTTCAGTCTGGGCTTCAGAGAGAGTACCAAGTCAGTCTGAAAAACTTAGTAAGGCATTTTCTCAAATCTCAAGGGAAAAAAAATTAAAAAGCAAAGTAAAAACCAAACAAAAAATGGGTTAAAGGTTTCGCTCTATGCCAAGCACTCATGCTCAGGGTTCAACTCCAACTATAGAAGCAGAAAAAGAGAAACCTTTGTCAATAAGATTAACCAGAACAGAATATGTTTAGATAATTTATATATAATACATATTGATATATAATAATATTCAAAGATCAAGACATTCAAAATAAAACCTTTAATGGAGAAGATTCTGACTAAATGGGGATTCACTGACTTCATTAGGAACAACAAAATTAAGGAAATCAATAAGGTGATTTGCCAAAAACATGCCAAAAGCTACATTAATAACTATAACCAGAGCTCTCCCAGACAAAATATCAGAAAGTTTATTATTGTCATGGGTAAAGCTCCTAGGTTAAGAACAAACTTCTTAGCAACTTTTCCCAAAAATAACAGTATAATATGGGAGTGATGACCCAGTGCACACAAGCATATTTGAATAGTATCTCCTGGAGAATTTGTTTTTTAATGTTCCAGAATAAAATTATTAATGGCAAAACTTTTCCAATTAATTCTTTGGGAGAGGAATATAGTGGGTGACAAGTTTAGGGAAGGCAAGTCTCCCAAGAGGATAATGGGGAGTGCCATGGAAGAAATTAAATTCAGTAAGGAAAGTCCCCAGCAAGCATATCCAAAGATTAAAAAGTCTTCAGAGAAAGAAAGCCAGCCCCAAATGCCTTAGGGCCTGGGGCAAGGCTGAATGGATGCTGTCTTAGTTAGTTAGGGTTTTTATTGCTGTGATGAAACACCTGACCAAAAAGCAAGTTGGGGAGGAGAGGGTTTAGTAGGTTTACCCTTTACCATTGCTGTTCATCACTAAAGGAAGTCAGGACAGGAACTCAAACAGGGCAGGATCCCAAAAGTAGGAACTGATACAGAGACCATGGAGGGGAGCTGCTTACTGGTTTGTTTCCCCTGGCCTGCTCAGCCCACCTTCTTATAGAACTCATGACCACCATGGTCTGGGTCCTCCCTCAAAAATCACTAAATGAAAAAATAACTTACAACGGGACTTCATCAAGGCATTTCCTCAACTGATTCTCCTTCCTCTCTGATGACTCCAGCTTGTGCCAAGTGACACAAAACCAGCCAGTGCAACTGATTCCTTGTAAACTTGACGCATAAACACATCCCTAATAAACCACAATGCTTCCTTTCTTATTCATCCCCCAAGATCTCACATTAACAATGGAAATAACTATAGAAGTCCCACAGTCTTTACAAATTCAAATACATTGAAATTTTAGTAGCCAATCTTTTAAAATTCGAGGTCTTTCAAACTTCAAAGTCTCTCAACTGTGGGCTCCAGTAAAATATGTTCTTACTTCAAGAGAGAAAAATCAGGGCACAGTCACAACAAAAGCAAGCAAAATTCCAACATCCAGTGTCTAGGATCTACACATGATTTTCTGCACTCCTCCAAAGGACTTGGGTCACTTCTCCAACTCAACCCTCTCAGGTACACACAACTTGTCTTCTTTTCCCCAGCTGGCTCTACTCCACTGCTGCCGCTGTTCTTGGTAGTCATCCCACGGTAATGGCATCTCCAAAATGCTAGGGTCCCTTGCTGCATCTGGGCTGCACTTTCTCCTAGGCTTGCTTCATGTTGCCAAGCCTCAACTTCTTTACATGACCCCTTAAGTCCTGGACCTTCAACCGCCACTGAGGTTGCACCTTCAACACTGGTCCTTTCTGGTTTTGCATAGTGCCAAGCCTCAGCTGTTCTCCATGACCCCTTTATGCCTTCAAAAGTAATACCACCTGGGTGATGCTTACACATTACCAAGTCTGGCTGCCAGCACAAGGTATAACATTGGCGCCTCTGGAACACAGCTTCTCTGTGCTCTCAGGAAACACTTCCCAGAAGATTTCACCTCAGTAGTGCTGGTCTCTTCTTAACCACTGCTAATTTCTCAGCTCCAGTCAACCAGAGTCAAGTATCCCAGCAAAACAAAAATTTGCTTTAGTAGTTTTGGTATCTTGTTTATCACAGCTGATTCTTTAGTCCCACTAACCAGAAGCACAGGATCTTAATTCAAACTAACAAATGGCCCTGGTAGTCTTTAAACATCCCTGGGAAGTTTCACAAGTCATGCCTCCATCTTCTGTTTCGCTCCTAAAATTCTTATCTTCCAATCTGCTAAAGAACAACCCACTGAGCCAGGCGATGGTGGTGCACGCCTTTAATCCCAGCACTTGGGAGGTAGAGGCAGAAGGATCTCTGTGAGTTCGAGGACAGCCTGGTCTGGTCTACAAGAGCAAGTTCCAGGACAGGTCCCAAAGCAACAGAAAAACCCTGTCTGGAAAAACAAAAACAAGCAAACAAACAAAAACAAAAAAAGAAAAGGAAAAGAACATCCCACTGAGCTCTTAACACTCAATGGTTCTTCTAGACCAAAGTTCCAAAATTCTTCCACAATCCTCCCTGAAGCATAGTCAAGTCTGTCAGCAATACCCCACCATACTGATACCAATTCGTCTTAGTTATGGTTTCTATCACTACGATGAAACACCATGACCAAAAGCGAGTTGGGAAGGAAAGGATTTATTGGGCTTACACTTCAGCATTGCTGTTCATCACTGAAAAAGTCAGGACAAGACAGGATCCCGGAGGCCGGAACTGATGCAGAGGCATTGAAGGGGAGGTGCTTACTGGCATGTTTTCCCTGGCTTGCTCAACCCACCTTCTATAGAATCCAGGACCACCTGCCCAGGGATGACACCATCCACCATGGACTGGGCCCTCTCTCACTGATCACTAAATGAGAAAAATAACTTTCAACTGGATTTCATCATGACATTTCCTCAGCTGAACCTCCTTCCTCTCGGATGCCTCTAGCTTGTTTTAAGTTGGCACACAAAACCAGCCAGTACAGATGTTATGCTCAGGAGCCTGTGCCTCATCAGGAAGATGTGCTCAGTGCTTCTTTTCTGCCTATGTGAAAGTCAGTTCCTGTACCTCAATTCATCAGTTCCCAGAAAAGCCATAAAAATCAAGTATGCTAGTGAGGGTTTTCTAGGGGAACAGAAACAATTAACTATATATACAAGAGGGTATCTAATATCTAGGGTCATGCAATGCAGGCTGGTTAGTTCAACAATGACAGTCTGCATGCTGGAGAGTCAGATAACTTAGTAACTGTCCTTGCCAAGAAGAGGAGTACATCAGAGCCAAGGGGTCCTATTTCATTTCTGCTGCTGTGGTAAGTTACCCTGACAAGAGCAACTTAGGGGAGTGAGGGTTTATTTTAGCTGACAGTTCTAGGTTCCAGTCTGTAACAAGGGAGTTCAAAAGTCAGGAATGTAAAACAGTTATATCATTTCCACAGTCAAGAGCAGAGAGAATGGAATGCAGGCAGATTCAGCACTTGGCTAGCTTTCTCTATTTTTAATTCATCCCAGGGTCTAGGACAAGGGAATCACGCCACTTGCTTTTAGGCTTGTTCTTCACTCATCAATTAAGGCAATCAAGACAATCTCTCACAGGCCTGTGCTGTGGGAATTCCTATAGCCAGTAGTCTTTAAGCTACTCACCCACTTGGGCGTGGCCTCTTATACTGTAAATGCCTATGTGAAGCACATGTTCGGCCTCTCTTCCAGCTGCTGGGTTTGGTTTCTTTTTGTACAGAGAATTGTGATCTATGAGTCTACCCTAAATAAATAGCCCTTTATTATACTCAATTCTGAGCTAGTGTGGGATTTCTTTTCGGCATCCTTCTTCATCTGGTGCCCATGTGGATCCGGACTACACACCTACTAGGTGTACCCGCTTAATAGCCTAACCAGTTGACAGCCCAGAAAGTCTCCCAACCCCATCTGCTTGGCTTACTTTTACCTAAGCGGTTTTTTGTGAAACCCCTGCTACAGCAGAGCTAACTGTGTGCTCTGACTTGGAAATTTCCCAAGCTCGCACACATCCCGTTGAAGAAGAGAAAGAAAAGAATACCACTCTTGATGCTGGTAACAGTAATGCCATATTGCGAGGCCTAAGAAACAAACAAGTCAGGGCTTGTCAGGAGTCAGGATTTCCACAATCAGACATCTGGTCTCCAGCTAGGGGAGGGAGGAAGAATGAGTCAGAATACCTTCAATCAGACATCTGGTCTCCAGCTAGGGAAGGAGGAAGAGATAAGAGGAATGGAAAATTCCTGAGCAATCCCCTCATTGTTATTTAGGTGAAAGGCCAAGAATTTGCCACCCAGCATGAGTTCATGACCCTATTTGAATTGAACAATGGAATTCCTGTAACCATGCATCTCACTTCTGTACCCGCACTTTTGCTCTCCTATAAAAACCCCTCGCCCCAGCCTGACGGCGCGCAAGTCCTCCGAGAGACTTTGTCGTCCCAGGTACCTGTGTATCCGAATAAAACCTCTTGCTGTCTGCATCCATACGAGTGGTCTCGACTGGTCCTTGGGCACGGGATCTCTCCCGAAGGAAGACACCCCTCGGGGGTCTTTCATTTGGTGCGTTGGCCGGTAAGTGAGACCCCCACCCAGGGACCACTGACCCACCATCGGGAGGTAAGCTGGGCAGCACTTTATGTGTCTTATGTCTTTTGTTGTCTAAGTGTTGCACTGCGAATTTGATTTCTGTTCGATTCAGCTGAGTCGATCTGTATCTGGCGGGCCTCAGAAGGGGCTGACGAGCCCGGACTTCTCCCCCGCAGCCCTGGAAGACATTCCAAGGGTGTCTGGAGCCCGATTTTTCAGGGCTCATCTGTCTGAACCCACGACCAAAGTCGGACTTTTTGGGTCACCGCCCTTGTCCGAGGGGTACGTGGTTCTTCTGGGAGGCGAGGGATCCGGACTCTCTCCAAAGTCTCCGTCCGAATTCTTGCTTTCGGTTTTGCGCCGAAGCTGCGCAGCGTGTCTGATTGTCGGTCTGTCCGTCCTGTTGTTCATTTTTGTGGTTTGTCTGTTCATTTATCGGAATACTAACATGGGACAGTCTCTAACTACCCCTTTAAGCCTTACTCTAGATCACTGGTCAGACGTCTCTAACCGAGCGAGCAATCAGTCGCTTGAGGTCAAGAAGAAAAAGTGGCGGACTTTTTGTTCCTCAGAATGGCCCACATTCAACGTGGGCTGGCCGCGGGACGGCACCTTTGACAAGAATCTTATCTTACAGGTCAAAGAATGGGTCTTCGATAGAGGACCCCAGGGACACCCTGACCAGGTCGCTTATATCGTCACCTGGGAAAGTTTGGCTTATGATCCACCCCCCCTGGGTGGCCCCCTTTATTTCTCCAGACAAACCCCAACCCTCCCTAAGCCTCGTTCCTTCGGTCCCAAATCCTCCTTTGCCTTCCCCTCCTTTGCCTTCCCTACCAAAGCCCCTTACTCCTACGGTCTCCTCTCTTTATCCTGCACTGACGAAGAAGAAAACCCCTAAGCCGAAGGAGACCCATAAGCCGTCTGTCCTTCCCCCTGACCCAAATTCCCCTCTTGTTGACCTCCTATCCGAAGATCCTCCTCCCTATAATCCCCAGAAGGAGCCCGAAGATCATGAAGCTGACCCTGCGGCGCCCCCGTCACAGGACTCCCCGCCTGTTGCCTCCCCCGTCGCGAGCAGGCTCCGGGGAAAGCGTGAACCGTCTCCCCCGGACTTCACCTCTCAAGCATTTCCCATGCGACAGGGAAATAACGGCCAACTTCAATACAGGCCCTTTTCCGCCTCTGATCTATACAATTGGAAACAACACAATCCCCCTTTTTCCAAAGACCCCGTGGCATTAACTAACTTAATAGAGACTATTCTGATTATCCACCAGCCAACATGGGACGATTGCCAGCAGCTTTTACAGGCTCTCCTCACTTCTGAGGAAAAACAAAGGGTCTTCGTAGAGGCACGGAAGCAGGTCCCAGGAGACGATGGAAGACCAACCTAGTTGCCCAATGAGATTGATGCTGCCTTCCCCCTCACCAGGCCTGACTGAGACTTTGCTACGCTTGCAGGTAGGACACACCTACGCCTTTACTGCCAGTTGCTCATAGCAGGTCTCCGAGGGGCTGGTCGCCGCCCCACTAATTTGGCACAGGTAAAACAGATAATTCAGGGGGCAGATGAATCTCCAGCAGCATTTTTAGAGAGACTTAAGGAAGTATACGCCTTACGATCCTGAGGACCCAGGGCAGGCTACCAGTGTGTCGATGTCTTTTATCTGGCAGTCCGTATTTGACATTAGAAACAAGTTACAGAGGTTGGAGAACTTGCAGGGATATACTCTGCAAGATTTACTTAAGGAAGCAGAGAAAATCTTCAATAAGAGGGAGACTCAAGAGGAAAGGGAGGACCATATCCATAGAGAAAAGGAAGAAAGGGAGGATAGATTGAGAAAAGAAGCAGAGGAAAAGGAGAATGCTAGAGACAGAAAGAGAAATAGGGAACTGAGCCGCATCTTGGCCACCGCAGTTCAGAGTCAGGACAGCCGAAAGGGAGACAGGATGGGAGAACAGAGAGGCCCTCGCGTGGAACGCAACCAATGTGCCTACTGCAAGGAAAGAGGGCACTGGGCAAAGGACTGCCCTAAGAAGACCCACAAACCCAGAGGCCCCAAACCACAAGCCTCACTCCTAGCCCTAGATGAAGACTAGGGAGGTCAGGGCCAGGAGCCCCCCACCCCCCGAGCCCAGGATAACACTCGATGTCGGGGGGCAACCAGTTACCTTCCTAGTAGATACCGGGGCTCAGCATTCAGTTCTTACCCGGTCACCAGGCCCTCTCAGTGAACGAACTGCTTGGGTACAAGGGCCCACAGGCGGAAGAAGATATCGTTGGACCACCGAGCAGAAGGTACAGCTAGCAACCGGTAAAGTAACTCATTCCTTCCTACATGTCCCAGACTGCCCCTATCCATTACTGGGGCAAGACTTACTCACCAAACTGAAAGCCCAAATTCACTTCGAGGGGGCAGGGGCTCGAGTGTCGGGCCCAAATGGAAACCCCCTCCAAGTCTTGACCTTACAATTGGAAGATGAATACCGACTATATGAACAGGACTCTAAGACACAAGGATCACGCCGAGGCCAGAGGAAATCGGCGGGCAGACAGGGTGGCCCGAAAGGCTGCTTTGGGACCACAAATTCTCCCCCTAGTATCAGAGCCCGTCCAATCCGCAAACTGGGCCTATGATAAAGAAGATATACACCTGCTCCAAAAACTGGGGGCAGAATATAATCCAACAAATAAATGCTGGGTTTACCAGGGAAAGATAGCAGTGCCCATAAAAATAACCCAAGAACTTATAGGCAACTTACATAAATTGACCCATCTGGGTACGAAGAAAATGAAAACCCTCCTAGACAGAATGGAAACTGGACAGTACCTCCTGAACAGGGACGGGGCACTCCAACGGGCAACAGACAATTGCAGGGCCTGTGCCCAAATTAATGCAGGCCACTCCAAAGCCCTCAAAGGGGTGCGCCTTAGAGGACATCAGCCCGGTGTCCATTGGGAAATAGACTTTACTGAAGTCAAACCTGGCCTGTATGGGTACAGGTACCTGCTGGTTTTTATAGACACCTTTTCAGGATGGATAGAGGCCTATCCCACCAAACATGAAATGGCCAAAATGGTTGCCAAGAAGCTATTGGAAGAAATTTTTCCCCGATACGGAATGCCAAAGGTATTGGGATCAGATAACGGGCCAGCCTTCGTCTCCCAGGTAAGTCAGTTGGTGGCCAAGTTACTGGGGATTGATTGGAAATTACATTGTGCTTATAGACCCCAGAGTTCAGGACAAGTAGAACATATGAATAGAACTATTAAGGAGACTTTATCCAAATTAACACTCACAACTGGCTCAAAGGATTGGGTGCTACTCCTGCCCCTGGCCCTGTATCGGGCCAGGAACACTCCTGGGTCACATGGCCTTACTCCTTTTGAAATATTATATGGGGCACCGCCTCCAGCCATACATTTCTTTGATACGGACATTGCAGACTATGCTAACTCCCCTTCTCTACAAGCCCACTTGTAGACCCTGCAGCTGGTACAACAAGAGGTCTGGAAACCCCTAGCAGCAGCCTACCGAGACAACCTTAACCAACCGGTGGCGCCTCATCAGTACCAAATCGGGGACACTGTTTGGGTCTGCAGACATCAAACTAAGAACCTGGAACCGTGCTGGAAGGGATCGTTCACTGTTCTCCTGACCACCCCAACAGCATTCAAGGTGGACAGAATCGCTGCCTGGATCCACGCCTCACACGTGAAAGCCGCCAGTTCAGAACAACAGACAGACAGCCAAAAGAAAGGATGGAAGGTCCAACGCTCCCAAAACCCCTTAAAGATATGACTGGTTCGAGAATAATGTTATGGGCATTAGTCTTTCCCATGTTGATCTTGGGATCCATGGGGGCTCATAATGAAAGCCCCCACGCAGTTTATTCCTTGACTTGGCAGATTATTTCCCAGACTGGGGAGGTAGTCTGGAAAACGACTGGCCAACATGCCCTCAATACTTGGTGGCCCTCCCTCACCCCCGATTTCTGTCAACTAGCTGCGGGACTGGATACCTGGGACATAGCCATCACTGACCATAGTCAACTGACAAAAGAAATGCAGCAAACAGGGGAGGGAGGAGAAGGATCTATAGCCTGCTCCACCCCCAAGTGAAGATGTAGATTAGCGGGGGCCGACTTTTATGTTTGCCCCAGGGATGGCCGAGACCGAGGTACGGCTTATAAATGTGAAGGATATAATGAAATGTTCTGTGCGGCTTGTGGGTGTGAAACTACTGGGGATGCCTATTGGAATCCCAGTTCCAGCTGGGATAAGATCAAGGTGACCCGAGGATGGAACGAACCTCCAACTCACTGGGTAACCCATAATTATTACCAAAGCCCTTGTTACAGTTCCGATTGTACTGATGGAAGATGTTTACCCCTCAACATCACCTTCACCGAATAAGGTAAAAAGGCCACCGAATGGCAACAAGGATATACATGGGGGCTTAGATGGTACTTGACGTCCACAGATAGGGGATTGACTTTCAAGATACAGCTCAAAGCTGAGGCTATAGTTTCCCGGTCAATAGGACCCAACCGGGTCCTGGCAGATCAGAGGCCCCCATATTTACCCAAAGCACCAGCTACCCCTAGCCTGACTAACTTTACCACTACTCCCACCACCACCTTTACCCCCCTAGCGGCCGCAATCGAGCCGGAAAGAGGAACGGGAGATCGACTTTTGAATCTCATTGGGGGGCTTACCAGGCCTTAAATCACTCAGATCCGGATCGGGCCAACGATTGCTGGCTCTGTCTTAATCCAAGTCCCCCATATTATGAAGGGATAGCTCTCTGGGGTAACTGTAGCAATGTCACCTCACCACCCCCCACCTGCCAGGGCATGGACCATCATCTGACCCTTACCCAGGTGACAGGTACCGGATCTTGCATAGGAACTGTGTCTGGCCAGCCCTTTTGCAGTTCGACCATGCCCGTCATCAAGGGAAACTATTATCTAGTCCCACCAAATGGGACCCTTTGGGCTTGCAATACCGGCTTAACCCCCTGTGTTTCGGCAGCAGTATTTAACCAAACTCATGAATATTGTGTTCTGGTACAAATTTGACTGCGCATCACATACCACTCAGATGAAACCATCCTCAAATATTATGAATACCTGCCCCGGAGGGAAAAACGGGAAGCTATCACCTTGACCCTGGCCGTGCTCCTAGGGGTAGGAGGCGTTGCTGCAGGAATAGGCACCGGGGCCACCGCTCTAGTACACACGGATCAATACATGTTTTTACATCAAGCTATGAATGAGGACCTGAGGGCCCTTGAAAAGTCAGTTAGGGTCCTGACGGAATCCTTAACCTCCTTATCAGAGGTAGTGCTACAAAATAGGAGAGGACTGGATCTGCTCTTCCTAAAAGAAGGGGGCCTTTGTGCGGCCTTGAGAGAAGAATGTTGTTTTTATGCTGATAGAACCGGCATAGTGACTGAAACTTTAGATAAATTAAAAGAAAGGCTAGAGAAACATAAGAAAGAATTTGAAGCCTAACAGACATGGTATGAGGGGCTTTGGAACCGATCCCCATGGTTCACCACCTTAGTCTCTTCCTTAATGGGACCTATGATTCTTTTAATGTTAATTCTTGCGTTTGGCCCTTGCATTTTAAATCGGTTGATTCGATTTATTAAGGACAGACTCTCGGTTATTCAAACCCTAGTCTTAACCAGCCAATACCAAAGATTAAACCAAAGGGAAACAGAGATCCTATAAATACTTGAGTAAAAGATTTTACTCAATGATGACGAAAGAAATGGGGGAATGAAGAAGAGAAAGAAAAGAATACCACTCTTGATGCTGGTAACAGTAATGCCATATTGCGAGGCCTAAGAAACAAACAAGTCAGGGCTTGTCAGGAGTCAGGATTTCCACAATAAGACATCTGGTCTCCAGCTAGGGGAGGGAGGAAGAATGAGTCAGGATACCTTCAATCAGACATCTGGTCTCCAGCTAGGGAAGGAGGAGGAGAGATAAGAGGAATGGAAAATTCCTGAGCAATCCCCTCATTGTTATTTAGGTGAAAGGCCAAGAATTTGCCACCCAGCATGAGTTCATGACCCTATTTGAATTGAACAATGGAATTCCTGTAACCATGCGTCTCGCTTCTGTACCCGTGCTTTTGCTCTCCTATAAAAACCCCTCGCCCCAGCCTGACAGCGCGCAAGTCCTCCGAGAGACTTTGTCGCCCCAGGTACCTGTGTATCCGAATAAAACCTCTTGCTGTTTGCATCCGTACAAGTGGTCTCGACTGGTCCTCGGGCATGGGATCTCTCCCGAAGGAAGACACCCCTCGGGGGTCTTTCACCGTCCCCTCACTGCTGCATTCCCTGCCCTGTGGTGGCTTGTGTAGCTTCCAGTTTGTGCTCCCTACTTGTGAATTTTGAGCTTCCTGTTCTGTGTACAGAACTGATTTAATTGCTTTTCATTTGTCAAACAAAGCATATTTCTCAATATTTAACCAGCACCAATGCCAAAACAACCAAAGTGGCTCAGGTCTGTTCATGGCACCAGGTTGTGCTGCTGGTTATGACTCTGCAACCATGACACCTGCGGGACAATTAAGATCATTACATCTAAAACAATTTACCAGACCTCATAACATAACATAACATAAAGTAAATATTTTATTAATTAATAAATCAATAAACTTGAAAGTTATATAATTGCAGACAATATTACCATACAGGATTTTAGTAACTTTTTTCTAACACTACAAATTGTATTTTGCAAGTGGTTATTGTGATACATCCATTTATTGGATATTGGGACACAGTTTTTTTCTTCATATTATATTCTTAAGAAAATGGTTTGATAACAGAGCTAAGAATAAGGCACTTTTAGAAATGATACAGTCTTTACAGACTAATAATGAACAGCTATCTGACAGGATTAATACAATCAAAAATCAAAAGCTACCTGAAAAAAATTAATACTTTTGAAAAGGATAATATTAATTTGACAGATAAAATGGGATCCATGTCTAAGTGTACTGAAAAATTATCTGAAAGAATTCATACTGTTGAAATTGGCAATCAAAATTTGTTAAAAAGTTATGATAGGTTAACAGATAGAGTATCTCTCCAATAGGGCAATCTGCATGCTATCCAAATAATATCCAAGGATGGGATGCTATCTTTAAAGGAAAAACTTCAGACCTTTGAATCACATGTGCAGAGTGAGGACCAGAGGCTTGGTACCTCAATGAAATCACTGGAGATATAAATAGGCCAGGAGATACAGGCTTTACAAAAGACAGTAGTAAAAAGATTTGAAATGATTGAGGAAATTATTGGAGCTGATGAGCAGGGAAAGAAGGTACAAGGACAGGGTTTAACATTGCCAGTAGCTGTCAGAGATGACTTTCCCAGGGTTTTAGCATCCTACCTTGTAATCTACTCTAACAAAGCATCAAGTTCTAAAGGCCCAAAAGGATCCAAAGAAAGTAGATGAATATGTATAGGAATAAATGATCCAAAAGAAATTAAGCAAGCTGTAGTAACTTATGGATTGCATTCCATATTTGTTAGGGAGATGATAAAGACGTGGGTTTCTATCATTAAAGCCGCACCACAAGACTGGCTTCAGTTAGAGTAGTCCTGGATGACAGGCCTC